TATTGATGCTTGATTATTATTATTATTATTATTATTATTATTATTATTATTATCATTATTATTATTATTATAATTATTATTATTATTATAATTATTATTATTGTTATTATTATTATTACCATTAAAATATGTAAAATTAATGTTACTATTATCACCATCACATAATGAGTTTGATAAATGTTGACTTATTATTATGTCTGAATTTATTGATGATAATCTGTTTTTTAATTGTGATGATGGATAAGTAGTAGAAGGTGACAGTGGTTGTTTTCTCAAATTATTTATATTATTATTTATTGTATTGATTGTAGTTGCATTGGTTAAGTTGTTGGCAGTGACTGGTACACCACCATTAAACATTAAACCTAATGATTGTTGAGCCGAGAATGCCACCTCCAACCCATGTACTTTATCACGTAATTCTCGTGCAGAACTATGATCTACGCAAATTTTTAAAACGTTCAATGTCCTTAATAAATTATCATGTGCAGGTTTTGAAAATCTTAAATCAGGAGAAGACATGTTGACAAGATGAATCATTGATGATGCCACCAAACAATAAACACCATAATTTCCACCACGAAGAGTGTATTGAAATACTTGTGGAGACCAACGTTCTAACATTACAGATGCAAGTTGTGAAGCATTATTGGCAGCATTTGTACAAATAACTAAATGATCTGGTGACGATGAATTGGAATTGGAATTGGAATTGGAATTGGAATTGGAACGATTATTTTCCATTTTAGTAATAAAGGGTCTATGGAGTAAAATTATAACAGTGTAATATAAACGATTTAAAAAGCCTGCAAAATGTGTCAAGGGATTTTGTAATAAAACATTTTGTTGATAATTTTCACCAATATTTTGTTGTTTTTGCTATGGGTTCAAGATTTTCTGATGACGTTAGAGTACGTTTGGATCCAATGAAACCTGAAACTGCCGGATTTTCTTATTTTAATCGTGCTAAGGGTATATATATATGCATACTATAAATTGTATATTTGATAAATAAAATTTAAACTAATAACCCCGCTCCAAACTTAATCAAATAATAATAATAATAATAATAACAGAATTGCTTGATGATTTTTTGGACGCACCAAGATTATCAACGATCCAAGCACAACTTTTAATGATGAAATTTCAAGAAAATACCCAGAAACCAGGTTTTTTCTTTAGATCTTGGTTAAGTTTTGGTTCTATAATTCGTATGGCAGAAGAGTTAGGCTTAAATAAAAATTACGATGAATGGAATTTACGCTTATCAGCAGAAGATGCGATTGTTCGTAAAAGAGTATGGCAAGCCTGTTTCTTATTCGATCAATTTATGAGTGGTGCACAAGGTAACAATAAATAACATTCTTAATTAATTAAATAAAAAAAAAAAAACAAAAAATAATA